TGATTCCAAATTTGAGCCCTAACTCGGTGGTGGTTATCGATAATGCTCCGTACCACAACAAATTAATGGATCCTGCCCCTACATCTAATGACAAGAAGGCAAAAATGGAATCGTGGTTATTAGAAAAGGGTATACCATATGAAAAGGACATGCGTAAACCACAACTTTACGATCTAATAAAAAAAAACAAAGACGTGAATAAAAAATACGTTATAGATGAAATGTTTAAACAAAACAACGACGATGTCCTTCGTTTACCCCCATATCATCCCGATTTAAACCCCATCGAGATGGTGTGGGCTGCCATTAAAGGGCACGTAGCCGCTAAAAACGTCGACTGGAACGTAACCCGGACAATGGAGCTCATACAAGAAAAAGTAAATTTAATGGGTCAGAATGAATGGAGTGCTTTATGCAGAAAAGTGCAAGAGGTCGAACATGACTATAGGAAGAGCGACCATATTATTGACGAAATGACGGATCAATTATTCATCATTAATACAGCTTCAGATTCAGAAAGTGAGTCTGAAAGTGAGAGCGACGATTACGAAGATGAACCTATGCCAAGTACCTCACATGGTACACAAGGGACCGACGACTTTATGTTAGGAATTTCCCCCCTCAGCGACAGTGATTAAATAATAATAAGTGTAAATAAATAAAAAGTATTAAATGTAAATAATATTGTATGTGTTTGTGATAAAATCTGCCCCTATCGAAAGGTGAGGTATCAAAATTGAATCTTTAATTTATAATGTCTCCAAAGTGTTTTGATATTTTTGGTCACTGTATTAGGGAAATTTTATTTGTACATTGGTATATATAAAAAAATGACAATAACAGTTTTCTTCACGAGTGTTCATGCGCTAAACTTCGCAGAGCCTATATTCAGACTCGCCAAGATACGTCGGCCGTATTGTACATACTTGTGACTCGATATAATATTATATTCGAAAGCGTTAGCTTAGTGCCTACTTAAAGAGAAACAATGTATGGAGATGTGAATTATTTTTCAATAAATGTTAATGTTAAATATGTATTAATGAATTGTAATATATGGGCTGAGATTATATGATTACATACTTAAGAATTGTTTATCTATTTAAAAGATTTTAATATTTTGTTGAGAGAAATGTGGGTAACTTTATGGGTGTGGTTGGGTTTTATTTCCCGGTCTTAGGACACTGTTTATCCATAGGGGCTTATTTCTTATAATCGAAGGACCGTAAAATGAGCAGGGGTCGCTGGTTCAGATGCTTGAAGGACCAGATGTGAGGGAAAGCCTCACATCGACGATGAGCTGAAGCGCGAGTTGAAAGAACTTGGAGAGGAAATGTAAGGGTGTGCACTTACTTTGAATGCAGATGGGCGGATGATAAATGAATGGTGCTGGGTGGCTGGCACGCTCCTGAGCTGGTTAAATGTATACACGTGCAACTAAAGTCTTATATCATACACTGTCACTTTCACTTTAATGTTTAATTGGGTTGGCTTTAGTAATCTGCTGCACGATTTAAGTGATCATTTTAGCTTTAGTTGATAGGTAATGATGCTATTGATTACCATCTAGCTGCTTTTTATGCCGGAAATCCTTAGTTTTCGAGATATCGATAATTTTAGTTTTGAGGTTATGTCCATTTAAAAATGATACGAAACGAAATAACAACATAATTATTTGATCATTTTAGCTTTAGTTGACAGGCAATGACACTATTAATTATCATCTAGCTGTTTTTTTATGCCGGAAATCTTTAGTTTTCGAGATATCGACAATTATAGTTTTGAGGTTATATCCATTTAAAAATGACACGAATACGAAATAAGAATATAATTATTACAAAGAGATAGCAATAGAGCATGGTCTGTACTCTGTTTTAAAAAAAATAAGCAACAAGGATATAATTATTAGAAAGAGATAACAATAGTATAGTTTGTATGATCTATTAATCTATTTATAGTGCTATCCTACTCTAACATACGATGTTAAACCACGTATTGTTTTTTAGTCACCATCCATTCCACTTTCGCCTTCGGACTTTGAATGTTTTGCGCTCATTTTTTGCTCCTAATTCTTGACCCTTGCTCGATTATCGGACCTCCGTTTACCGCCTGCTCTATTTTCGACCTCTGCTTGTTTCTTGGACCTGTGATTTGCCTTGACGAAGACCCGTGCTCTAATACCGGACCACCGATTTGCCCTACGAAGACCCCTGCACGTTTTCTTGGACTTTGCCTACCTGTCTGTCTACCTGAGAGACCCAAGATGGCCGACGACTCTACGCCGTCAACTAGTTCGGCCGGTCCGTCGAACGCAAGCGACGCCGCCGCAACGGATGTAGTACCCTTCGCGGAGCTTTATGGTGATTTTGTGCGCAGGCGTTTATATGTGGAAGAAGGAGCTAAATTTTTTAATTTACCCCGAATCGTGCGAGAACTCGGTACCAGAGTACAGTGTGTGGAGTTTGCCATTGAAAATGGCTTAATTCCTGCCACTAAGGGGTGCTGCACCCATAGAGAGCTAATGAAAGTGGTATATGGGCAAAATAAAAATGTGGGCTCCTTTGTTTGCAATAAAGGAAATTGCAGAGCCCGATCCAGGGTAGCTCGTGGCAAGGGCACCTGGTTTGAAAATATTAAAATGTCATTGCCACGGGTATTCTATCTGATGTATTGTTATGCGCATCGCTGGAGCTATGAAGATGCAATCCACGAAGACCCAGAAAAAGATATAGAGGGAGGCTGCTTATCAAATTTGCAGTGCCTGAAAAGGGGTCTAAGTTGTAAGCACATTTTTAATTTAATACCAATTATGTACACTTAGATTGCAAATAAATGATTTGATTTGATTTGATTTATCTATAGCGACTGTCTGCGATTGGTACAATTACTGCCGGGAGACAGTCGTCATTTACCAAATAGAGCAACAAGAGGCCATCGGCAAGATTGATGGCCCAGGAAAAGTAGTCCAAATAGACGATTCAAAATTTGGAAAACTGAAATATAATAAAGGTAATTTGATTTTCTTATATTACAGACTGAAACAATATATTTATAATAATAATATAATGATAATTAAATTTATTTCAGACCCACATATAGTTCATAATATGTTAGTAAATTAGCTTAACCTATGTTAGTCTTAAATTATTACACATTATTTATTTTAAAGTTTACTTTTGAACCCAAATTATCTTTTAATACCTTTTATTAAATATATTTGAATACCTTTTAAAGCCAAAATATCTGGAAGAAATCAGTTTCAGAGTGATAAGACAGCCTGTTGTACATATTCTGCTATAAAATTTTGTACTTTTGTATTTGTTTTTTTTTTTTTGTAATTTTGTACTATTGGGTTTTGGTGTACACTGTACAATATAGAGTAAATAAATAAATAAATATCTTAATATTTACTAACTCTAATTTGTTTATTGTTGATTTTAGGAAGGCAGATTGAGGGCTACTGGATCCTCGGCCTCATTGAGGATGGAAGTGAGGATTTACGACTAGAGGTGTGCCCTGAAAACATCAGGTCAGCGGACATACTAGTGCCCCTAATTAAAAAACATGTGGTTGAGGGCACCACAATCCATACCGACTTCTGGAGGGCTTATGATTGTTTGGGGCAACATGGGTACATTCACAAGAAGGTGAACCATTCAGATCCTGAGAACCCATTTGTTGCCCCTGATGGCACTCATACTCAAAGAATCGAATCGCAATGGCGGGTGGTTAAAAGATTTTTCAGTAAATACAATTATAACCACCCGGAAAACTTTTCAGACATTATTATAGAATATTTGTGGAGAAGGTCAGTGCAAAGAAAAAAAAAGGATCCTTTTATGGAACTAATTAAAGTAATTAACCATGTATATAAATAAATGTTTTTATAATATTATATTTGGTCATTTCTTTTGATCAAACCCTAGTACCAGAAGGTATAAATCACAAAACCGAATCTGTCAACCCCAACTTCCACGTGGTCTTTCCGCTCTTACCCCTAGAGTGTATATGAAAATCCGGAAGCGCGGAGGGAATGCAGCCCTCGCCCGCTGTAACTAAGCGCAGGCAGCGTACGAGCCGTAGCGGCTGAGGCTGGTCGCCGAAGGCGACCAAACAGCCGACGTTGCGCAGGTGAGCTAGGTGCCTGTGCTTAGTTACGCAAGGGCGAAAGGGCTGCACTTCCCGCAGCGCTGGAGCAGAAGCAGAGTCAAAATAGTGTTAATTCCCACCGTTTTTCCCACCCTAAATACTGCCACATTCCCACCGGGACCCGAATGTGAGTTTTTCGTCGCCGGACGCCCTTTTTTTATTAAACGAAAGCGAATTTTCCTTAAATGTAACAAAACTTTAAAAATTCATAAAAAAAAGGGGGGGGTTTCCGGCACTTTTTTCCTTTCAGGGGGAGGTTCCGCCCCCTCCCCCCCCTCCCCCACCCACTCGGCGACCATATATTCATGCAGCAGATTACTAAAGAAAACCCGTTTAATTGTTCGTAATGATTATCACTTAGATATATTAGATACCGGCCGGCAATATATACGTAATTAACGCGAGCCGATGAGCTGAAGGTCGCGGACGCGTTTTCTTACACCTTTTTTCGAACGAGGGCGGCGCGTGACTCCCTTCCGGGGCTGCGACTGACGCAATACTCCCGCGATACTGCGCTCGCGCCGAATCAGTGAGTGAGAGAGAGAAAGCGAATCAGGGAATCAATCGTCGAGTGGCGCGAACACCGTCGATGGTAAAGTTTCTGCCAAAAAATGTTAAATTGATTATTAAATGAAATTAATAGTACGTGGCTAATTTCTCAGGCAGTCTTTTATGAGACATGACCAACGGAATTGTTTATTTTGATGTTGCCACATACATTTTATTTATGTTGTGACATACCATGCGTTAACAATTTATTTGGATCATTAGGAGATAGTTTTAAACAATCATGGTTAGCTATTTCAAAGTAACCACTAGATCAAAATAAATGGATATCGTTTGGTTTGCAGACGTATTATGGATTCGACCCGACCGCTTTGGAAGATGAGGTGGACCGCACGGCTGCTGCGGCGATGGTGCGCACGTACGGGCAAGCGCCACGCCAGCTGCTGCGCACACCCCACCCGCACGTCGCGAGGGACTTGCTGCCACGAAAGCAGGTCTTATACACATTCACGCACACAACTACATACGCACGTACGTACGTGCACACGTCCAGACGCACGTGCGGGCAGGCGCCGCGCCAGCTGCTGCCCACGCCGCACCTGCTCGCTGCGCGGGACCTGCTGCCGCGTACATCAGTCTCACGCACACACACACACAAATGCACACAACTACATGCACAACATGACGCGCCAGCTGACCCTCCGGTGGGTTGCAGGGGGAGGTAATGGCGGGCGTGTCGGGCTTGCAGTGGGGGCGCTACTGCGGCTCGCCGGCGCTGGGCCCGCCCGCGGTATCGGCGCAGCGTCAATGCGGCGCTGTGCGAGTGCAGCCGCTGCCCGCGCGCCGCGCTGCCGCCGCCTGCCGCGAGCGTACCGCGCTGCTGCCGCTACCGCCGCCGAAAGGTAACGCACCCGCACAACACTTGCTATAGTCATTTTAATATTAAAAGCTTTATACATTTGTAAAAATTTTTGACTTTATATATACACTAACTTATATTATGTAAAACGCCTCAACAGCATAACGATACTGTAGAAACGTAGTAAAAATATCTAATAGCGTATTGCTTGCACGCCACAGAGGAGGGCGGTGCTGGTGGTGGGAGTGGGGGTGGTGCATTCGGGCTGGTGTCGTGGGGGCACGCGGACGGCACGCTGCGGCTGCGGCGGCGCCGCGACACAGCGCCCGAGCCACTGCTGCATGTGCCCGCTATCGACCAGGTACCCCCATCTTATACATTATGAACAAAAAAACATGTTTGTACTTTACACGCAGTACAAGTGAAACAGTCAAAAAATTGCGAAGACAATTTTCATGAAAAGTTTGTGCCATTCACTTCATTCTATATATAAGTCAAGTATTTTTACCGTACTAGGCACTCTTTTGTTGTGTGTGTAGGTGTGTATTTGAATATTCATATATTCATAACTTTTATTTGCATCAAACATGGTAAATACAGGTGTTAATTACATACACTTTAGTCCAAACATGTTTCACCCCTTATATAGAGGTATACAAATATCAAATTTAATTATGTGGCTAATTCATTTGCTCATTATTAAGTTATTAATTACAAAATATTGAAAGTACATAGAAATTAAAATTTATATATAATTACTCATTAGATTATTATTAATTGTTAGTAAATATAATAGTAATGTCAGACAATTATTAATTATTACCAAATATGATAGAATGTCAAATAATTGTTAATTATTATTAAACAAAATAAAAATGTCAATGTGAAATCGTAGTGGTTCATTTGTCAAATTTATAATCTAGGAATTCTTTGACGCTATAAAAAGTTCTTTCTACAAGAAGATCATAGAGGCCTTTTCTAAATCTTGAGAAAGATAGTGCTTTAATATGCTGAGGAATTTTATTATATATTTTGACACACATGTATAGACAGCTTTTATTATATTTAGATAATCTAGGAAGTGTGTCAATTACAAGCTTTTCAGGGTATCTGTTGCTTCGAGAAGATATATTTTTTGTTTTAGTAAACAGATAGTTGTGTTGTTTGACGAACAAACATATTTCGTATATGTAGAGCGAGGGCAATGTCAATAACTTAAGCTTTTTGAATAAAGGTCTACATGAATCAAATGGCGCTTTTAGAGTTAGTGCACGTAAACATTTTTTTTGAGTAATAAAAGCTTTATTTAACTGAGAACCATTTCCCCAGATAATTAGCATGTAACGCAGAATAGAAACTACATAAGCGTGATACACTGACAGGGCAGTATTTATGTTCGTGACTTTTCTAATATACCTTAAAGCATATACAAATTTATTTATTCTATCACACACTGATTTAATATGAGACTCCCAGTTAAGGTTTCTGTCAATTATTAAGCCAAGAAATTTTGTTTGCGTCATTTCTTCGATTTTGGTTTCGTTGTGATATATGTCAAGCTTATTAGTTTTCAAGTTGTCAAATTTAATGTAGTGAGTTTTGCTGAGATTTACTTTCAAATTATTTAAATTTAACCATTCTATTACTGATTTTATAGCGTCATTTATGTCAGATTCATGTTTTGTGAATGAGTGTTTGTTTGGGTTAGTACTAATTGTTATTGCAATATCGTCCGCAAACATAGTGCATTTGAATTTAGTTACATTTTGAATGTCATTTATATATAAAATAAAAAGCAAAGGCCCAAGAATGCTTCCTTGTGGGACGCCAAAATAGTTGTTCCTAAAATCTGAATAATAAGAAGTCAGTTCATTCTGGTTATTAAGGCTTTTGATTTCGACTTTTTGTCTTCTGTTTGTCAAATATGACTCAAGCCACTGCAAAGGAATCCCTCGAATGCCCATATTTTCCAATTTTTTAAGAAGATTTTTATGGTCAACGTAGTCGAAAGCTTTACTTAGGTCAAAAAACAATACAGTGGTTAGATATAAACTATTTACACTTACTAAGATAGATTTAATTAATGTATAAGTGGCCAAAGAAGTAGATTTGTTTTTCTGAAAACCAAATTGGTGTGGACTGATTATACTAATCTTATTACAGTATTCAGTAAGACGCAAAAACATACACTTTTCGAATATTTTGGAAAAAATTGATATTAATGCAATGGGTCTGTAATTATTGAGGTCATCTTTTTCGCCTTTCTTATACAATGGTTTAATTATTGTTACTTTAAGCTTTTCTGGGAAAGTACCTGTTGAAAAAGATGAGTTTATAAGATGTGTAAGTATTTTTATAAAACTATCGATGGAAATTTTAATAATATTGGTACATATTCCATCGTAACCAGTTGCATTTGAGTTCTTAAGAGATATGACTGCATTTCTGACTTCTTTTTCTGACATTTCTCTTAGAAACATTGACGTGAGCTGTGTAGAATTAGTTTTTGTTATTTTATTACTAGCGTCATTGTTGTGGGTCATGTTAATAAAAAAGTTGTTAAATTTATTTGCTATATCGGTTGAGTCAGTTAAAATTGTATTGTTATCTTTTATATTAATAATGTTAATATTTTTTGTTTTATTACCTATTTCATTATTTACAATTGTCCACGAGGCTTTGCATTTATTTCTGCTAGTGTTAATTAAATATGTATTTCTAATTTTTTTTTGACGTGTAAATACATTTTTTCAAAATTTTTGAATAACTTGTGTAAATACGTTTACTAAAGATGTCTTTGTTTATATAATGTTTATATCTAAGTAATCTTTTCCGTTTACAACTAATCCTTAGTCCTTTGCTTATCCATTTAGCTTTATTGTATGTGTTTTTTAGTTTTATTTTCATTTGCGGGAAACAGAGATTGTAGAATAGAAGAAATAAGTCATGGAATTTTTCAAATGCTCTATTTGTATTGGTTTCTTCTAAAATATCACTAAATGTAAGACAGCCAAGATAGCCATTAAATTTTTCTACATTTTCAGAGCAGTAATCTCTTTTATAAACGAAATAGGATCTTGGGTTTTGTTTTACAGATTTTACCGGTATTTTCAACATTTGGGCAGTGTTGTGATCTGATAAACAAAGCGGTAATATGACTGGTATTGCTGTTTTAATATTACTTAACATGTGATCAATACAAGACGATTTTCGGGTAGGCTCTTTAATATGCATCGTTAAGTTATAATTTAGTGCTATATCATTTAACATAATTGTAAATTTGCCAGATTTCAACGTGTTTATATTGAAGTCCCCTGTCAACACAATTTTCTTTTTATGTCCATATTTTTTATAAAGGATACTAAGCAGGCAATTTAACTTGTTCAAAAAATAATTAACATCACTTCTAGGGGTTCTATATAGGTTTATAATAATAAGGTTATTTCCTGAAATTTCAATGCCGCAACACTCAAAATGTTTTTCTATACCGTATTCATTTAAAAACAATATTTTATGAAAAAGCAAATTTTTTTTTTACTAGGATGCAAGTTCCACCTCTTTTTTTCAAATCTACAAAAACTTGCCCCTAATGTATAGTTATTTAATTTAAAGAAATTTTCCGCTCCCTTTTCTATGAACGTCTCCGATAAACAAATAATATCTGGTTCGTTATTTTTCTTCGCGAGTTCTAATATAGTAATTTCCAAAATTTCTTTTTTTAGCTGTTGCACTTGCTATGTTTTGATGTAGGATATTTAAGTATTTACTTGAGGTCCTATTAAACTGAGGCACGAAAAAAGTCACTCTTCTTTTTAAGTGGAAAGTAAAAAGGTATGGTACCTTTTTGTTTTGACGTACTATTCGCGGTTGGTTGGACTGGCTCGTTGCATGATTCGCGTACGCTTATTATTTTCTCCTTAATACATGTTTCATTCCAGCGTCTGATTGCCTCTACGTTTTCAAGGATATCGTTAAATATTATTTTTGTGCCATAGTTATTCACATTGCCCGTGTACATATCAAACATTGTAAAATCGTATCTAAGGTGCAAGTTTGAGTCTACGACATAGGCGTATTCGTGTTTTACATTGTCTTTGTGAAGCAAATTATTGAAAGATTCAATCGTCCAGTTTAATAAGTTAGAATACTTTTTATACCTATATGTTGGCAAACAAATAAGAACATTAGTGTGTGAGATTTTATATAATATTTTTCTTATATAATTTACTAAAAAGCGACAATTAATTGATCTTTCGAAATCATTGCTTCCTAAAAGTATAACACAGTAATCTTTCATTGTAAATTTTTTTAATTTTAAATCTATGTTTGACAACAACTCCTCTATCCCAGAACCAGGCTTACAATAATGGCAGAAACTATAATTATGAAATTTGATTTTTATATGTGATAATATATTATTGTTGTTATCACAACTAAGAACACATACTTTGTTTTTCGGACTAGGTGTGTAAGATAATGGAACCATAGTCTCCATCTCTTCCTTCCTCTGGTCTACATTGGGTGTACACATGTGTAAGTGTTCTAGGTTTCCTGATAACGTTGATTTTATTGAACTAAATGGTACATTATTTGGTAGCGAACACAACTCTTTTACATTAATTAATTTAATATAGTTTCGCAGAGAATTCAATTCTATTAAAGTTTTTTCCAGTTCAGTCTCTAGACAAGAAATTTTATTTTTTAAAGTTTCTGTTAGCTGTTCCTTAGCAGGACTTGCGTTAGGGGTACTATTTAATATTTTATAATTTTTTTTATGTTTATGACTTGGTGTCGGTGAATTTCCAAACTTGATAAGACTAGCGTTTTTCCTTCTGCATGTTTGTAGTTCTTCTTTTAGCTTTATGTTTTCCGACAGTAACTCTTCAAGTTCATTTTCAGTAATTTGGAGTTGTTTTTGCATTTCAGTCAATTGTAATTTATGTTCTTCTAATTCCTGGTACACATTTGTATTTAAGTTAGGGCAGCTCCGGTTTAACAAGTGAAGTACATGATCCGTCTATTGCGTCGTTTCGTTATATCCGTTTTTTTTATAAGTAGTTGTTACTATTACTTACATAACTTGACGGAACTTGGGGCTTGCATAGATTACAGAGGTGTGCACGACGTGCGAGGTGGGCGCGTGGGCGTGGACGGCGTTCGTGGGACTAGCGTCGGGGCGGGTACTGGCGCTGCGGCTGGGTGGCGCGGGGAGCGGGGCGGATGGTGGGGTTGGCGGCAGCGAGGTGCGGCAGCTGGTGGCGCACAGCGCGCCCGTGGCGGCGCTGTGCGCGTGCACACCCGCCGCGCTACTCGTGTCCGCGGACCGCGCCGGCCGCATAGTGCTGTGGGACCTCAACCGGTAAGTGCGGCCAGGGGCAGTAGAGTGGGGCGGGGGACGGCCCGGTGCGCGTGCGCGGCCGCCGCGCTGCTCTTGTTCTCGTACGGTGCCGGCCGCATCGTGCTGTAGGACCTCAACCGGTGAGTGTGGCCAGCGGCAGTAGAGCGGAGAAAGGGTTGGGTGTGGCGCGGTGCGCATGCGTGCCAGCAGCGCTGCTCGTGTTCTCGTACGGCGCCGGCCGCATCGTGCTGTGGGACCTCAACCGGTGAGTGTGGCCAGCGGCAGTAGAGCGGGGAGAGGGTCGGGTGCGGCGCGGTGCGCATGCGTGCCAGCAGCGCTGCTCGTGTTCTCGTACGGCGCCGGCCGCATCGTGCTGTGGGACCTCAACCGGTGAGTGTGGCCAACGGCAGTAGAGCGGGGAGAGGGTCGGGTGCGGCGCGGTGCGCATGCGTGCCAGCAGCGCTGCTCGTGTTCTCGTACGGTGCCGGCCGCATCGTGCTGTGGGACCTCAACCGGTGAGTGTGGCCAACGGCAGTAGAGCGGGGAGAGGGTCGGGTGCGGCGCGGTGCGCATGCGTGCCAGCAGCGCTGCTCGTGTTCTCGTACGGCGCCGGCCGCATCGTGCTGTGGGAACTCAACCGGTGAGTGTGGCCAGCGGCAGTAGAGCGGGGAGCAGGGTGAGGGGCGTCGTGGTGCGCTAGTCGTGTCCGCAGCCTGCCGGATGCCTGAATTGTGGGACCTCAACCAGTAAGTGCGGCCAGTGGCAGTAGAGCGGGGTGGGGAGCCTGGTGGGGGGCGGCGCTGTGCGCATGCTATATAATTTTCAAACAAATGCGAGTTAGTATTTCGTCAGAGATTTTTGTTGACTGCACAAGGTTTAAGTAACGGTTTTCAAAAGTGAGTAATTATTTCGTCATCTTTATGTTTAAGTCATTGATTAGTTTCTTAGTAACTTCTTATAAGCCAGTGCTTGATTCCTATCCTAATTTGTGGTAAATGGTGATGGTGACAGTCCTAAATTTTAAGGTATCAAGGGTGTAAATGATAATACGCAGTCTTAGGGTAACAAAACCCTTTTCACTCTTGCTTTGAAGACACCCATATTGTATCCTGTAGGAAAGACAGACCTCAGCAAATTATTCCACTCCTTTGCTGTACGTATTAGTAAATACATTACGTATCATCGATTTTGAAGTTAATTGTCGCTTTCTGACCTTTTTAATTTAAAACTCTTAAACACATAATATATTCCATTCATGTTCCAAATCTGTGATTCTCAGCCTGACGTACATCCGTACGCTGCCGAACCGCGAGCGGCTGCCCGTCACGCACGTGGCGGTGAGCGAGACGCTCAGCGACGTGGCCACCGTGCACGAGCTGCGCCCGCGCACTCGCACGAGCGGTGACCGAGAGGATACCGACAAAGATGCAGATGCAGACGTCGAAGCCGACGCAGACGTCGACTCGGACACATACGAACGGGATGCGATAGACAAATACCAGTCCTTGATACGTGTGCACACGGTCAACGGGCGCTTCGTCGGTAAGTAAAGATAATATTAATAAGTCGACATTATAAAAGTACATATCTTTTGTTTTGTCCAATTTAATCTCTGTCAATGACTAGCGTTATGACAGTCATAAACTAATTTAAACGCACTCGAACTTTGACGGCGTATAGCTGTCAAATTTGACAAGAATACTTATTTAGTCTACACGCTTCAACAACGCGTTGAAATTGTTAAAATTTATTATCGAAACTGCTCTGTTTGCCTAAGATTCCGTTTATTGCGTCCAATTTATGACATTCATTACGGACCTGCAGAGTCCACAATCCGTTTTTTAATGAAGCTTTATATAAAAAATCGTATTCAGTGATGAGTCTTATTTCTGACTGAGTGGCTTTGTCCGTTTTTGGAGCGATGAAAATCCTCGGGAAATTAATCAGGTACATTCCAAAAAAGTCATTGTTTGGTGTGGATGTTGGTCCGTCGGTATCATCGGCCCTTGTTTTTTTAAAAATACGGAACTGCCCTCTCTGTCAATGGCGACCAATATCGAACGATGATAACAAATGTTTTGTGGCCTAGAATAAATGGCATGGACATCGCAAACATATCGTTGCAACAAGACGACGCTACTTACAATACTGCACGGGAAACATTGAATTTATTGGGTGATGAGTTCTAGAGCTTCGTCATATAGCGGTGGTGGCGACATCAAGTAGCCACCCGATATCGTGTGACTTAAGATCACTCGACTAGTTTCTTCGGGGTTTCGTGAAATCTCTGGTCAAACACCAGACATATATCCAAAGAAGTGTCAAAGTTCTAGGTTCTATGACTACCAATCTGCTTGCTGACTAAGCATGGGTTTAAGGCAAACTCTTCCTGGGTAATAATTTAATGCACTAACTGAAGTAACATCTTTTAATATACGATACGTTGGTCTCACTTACTGTTTTAAATCTAAATATGTGGTACTGCAGCTAAAAGTCATTTAAAACCAATACAAATATTACGAAATAAAATAATTAAAATCTTACACAATTATGACTTCTTAACACCATAGAAAACAATTTACAAAAATACAAACATTTTAAATATTAAACAACTTTGTATACTTATGTACAAGATAACTCACAAGCTTATTCAGTCACACATAACATTCACAACAAAAAGTCAAACAAATAAATATACAACCTGCCGAGCCAGCATATTTGTGTTACCCACCATAAGAACAACTATGGAAAGAATAACATAACATTTGTTGGAGCACAGTTATACAATCAACTTCCAAAACATGTGAAAGAAGCGACTTCGATCAATATTTTTAAAATAAGATTATTTGAATATATTCATAATGATGAAACTATGCATTAAAATTATACTTCGACCACCGCCTCAAAGTTGTTAGGAACACAATGAACTCGCTTCTTGGTTAACGATCGAGCGATGTAATTTTTTTTACTACCCACACGCACTAGAATTATAATGTAGATATTATTGTTCTTATCTAAGTGACTATTGTCCTAATGAGAAATAAAGTTGTTTAAACCGAACTAGACAAGTGGAGATTCTCACGATAATATGAATCTAGACAACTACGAGTTTAAAAATTAGCTCACCACACAATTACTGCCCAATCTACCAGAAAACTCGGTTATCGTTATGGATAACGCTTCTTACCACCATGCTTTATTAGAAAAAAGTTCTAATTTCAACTCAAATAAGAATGATATGAAAACATGGTTTGCTGAAAAAAGTATTCCGTTTGAAGAAACAATGAAGAAAATAAAACTAATACGATCTAATATTAAAAATAAGGTTAGATTGAAAATATTCGTCATTGATGAACTTATTCAATCAAAAAGGTTTGAAATTCCACGATAACCCTCTTACAACCCGGAACTCAATCTTTGAAAATATTAAAAACTAAGTAGCTAATTGGTGAAGCGACGAGCCTAAGGTTACCGAAGTCCAATTCCCCGGTCGAGCCTTGAGCCTATTACGCGAGATGTTAAACCCAAATGGACTGTATATGCGAAATGCTTCTTCGTTTACACAAAATGGCGACTATAGCACGCGGTTTCCCATACAATGCACTCGCTCTTCCCTAAACGAACTATTATTTGCCAAATCTATGAAAGGAATCCTGCTTGATTAGGAGAAAATGAAAATTGGAGCGGATTAACTATTAAACACAATTATATCAAGCAGGAACTAGTAGGAATGTTCACTCACCGGGGTGTTGCTTCTATGCGGCTTGGGCACTATGTTATGTTGCTGCGCTGCGACCTCTGGAAGACACTCTGGGGCCCCAGAGATGCTTTCTTATCCGGTGATGCGTCGGGAGAGAGTGCGGTGCGCGACTATTTCTCACACGAGGTGAGGCGGGTTTCCTGGAGCTCGACTGCTTCCAGGCTAAAGCGGTTATACTAGCGGTGCGCGTGGGCAATAGCCCTTCTATGACACTATTGTCTTAAGCGGTGTGGTTCCAACGACGAGCGCGACGGGAAGAGAGACTGCGCGTCGGCCGCGCGTGACTTTTTATTCCTTTGGTAGCGATAATCGCGTGATATTCTAGAATCATCTTCTCTCCCCTCCCACCCCACCACCCCGATGTGTCGATAGGAGGGTATGAATGTTATCGTTTGGAAAGGGATAAACGATTTGGCAAGCCTACCGTCAAATAAAAATAAATGCGAATGGTTTTCCGCGCAACCGCAAATAAAAACGTTGCACAAAATTTTACATCCATTATGGCACTAATAAATGAACGGCTCGTAATGATTGATCCTACAATATGGACAAATACATATAATCATGTTAAAGACACAGCAAAACAATATTCACAATATTTTGACTTGGACAATGAAATTATTATTTATGTTGAGGACTCTGATTCAGATGTAAGTGATTCTGTTGAGATGACTGAATAGTTTAATAATACTTTTTTAGAATCACATATGTATGTGATTCTAAAAAAGTATTGTTAAACTATTTATATTTTGACTATTATAATAATTGTAATTATATTTAATTGTAAAATAAATAATTCAGAAAAATATCTGCTTAATTTACTTTAGATACCAATAACATAAAACATTTAATAGTAAATAGTATAAATTTTAAACCTACTAAAGTATTGATGATCAGTCCGCCGTTACAAAAAGTTGGTTTTTTATAAGCATTACATGAGAAATACAGCAAATAAATCTTTTACGTAAATTTTAAGAATTTCTTTTGCAGACCGTACTTGCTAAGAAGCGATGTTCATGGACTTGTTGTTCAACTAGTAATAAATGACTTGAACGCGTGAGAGAGCAGACCTATAGTTTTATACAATGCGATAACGCTGCTCCATACAGCAAGCGTTGATAGATATATCGCGCGACTAGTCGACCGTGATGTACGCATACAGAGATTCAAATTCACAGAACAGTCGACGCGTCCACACAGATAAAGTGTCGTTATTAATATTTGCATTCACACATCTAAACTAAGTAATTAATTAGTGAAGCGCTTCATTACAACTTAGACAAGCTCTAACACACGTAAAAAACAGACAGTCGAATTGAGTATCTCTTTATTTTTGAAGTCGTTTAAAAATGGGAGTGGTCTTGGACACGGCTACACAGCGTTTTACTTAAATACGTACAGCTTAATGATCTCAAAATAGCGAATCACAGTCCTTACTCAACGTAACGAATTCTTTGATCCTTTAGCTATCGAGTGATGCAATTAAATTTTGGATGTAGATGAAAGATATGTTGTTGTAAACAAAATGTATAGCCTAATTTTGTTATCGTCAGTGTTCTGAATTGCCGTCGTAAGACATGCAGGAAGTCGATTGAAGCAGGTGGATCAGGATTGTGCTTCGTGGCATTCCTCGGGGAAAGCCTATGTTCAGAAGTGGACTTGTAAATGGCTGTAATGAATAAATGGAAGTAAACTTAAAGACGTATTTACGTCAAAAACAGGTAGCGTGAAGGTGCCGGAAGTAGTGACGTGCGTATGCTACTCAAACGCGGCAGAAGGCGCCAGCGTGAATTGCGTGGCGGCGGGGCTGCGCTCGGGCGAGGTGCGGCTCTACAGCAGCTGGGAGCTGCGGCCCGTGCGCACGCTGCCGCCGCCGCTGCACGCGCCGCCGCACGCACCTCCGCCGCTGCTCAGGTATGTGCGCACCTGTACATGCTACACATGCTGTATGTGCTGTACGTGAACTGCACGTGACTGCATGAAGTCCTGGGTTCGAATTCCGGGTCGGGCCAAAAAATTAATTAAAGAGTTTTTCCGTCAAGAAGTACTCAGTAGCTGTCCGGAGTCAGGAAGTTGGCGGTGTCTCACTCCCGTGTCTCGGAAAGCACGTAAAGCCGTTAGTCCTGCGCCCGTTTTCTCTCCGGTCTTGTCGAATTACATTCGCATCTGATTGTGAGGGTGAGGGAATAGAGAGTGCACCTGTATTTGCGCATATACTTGGACACTATAATCCTGTGGCTAATCTCTATTGAGACTGGTCGTGACCGAAATTCGGTCTGGAGGACATTATTACGTGAACTGCGTCTACACTTTACGTGGCTTTTACGTGACCTTTATGTGACGTGTGCGTGTTCGCTCATGCAGACACTTCCATTCGTTTCTCTCTAATCTTCTACTACAGGCAGCAAAACTACTTTTCTGCTTGAATCTGAGTAGGTACCACCATCTCACCTATTTCTGCTACCAAATGTTGTGATGTTTATCTAAGTCGGTGTATTCTTTAATGTATTTTTACCTAAATTTAGTATAAAATGAAACGAGGTGTTTCAATTTGGTTGTGAAAAGGTATTATATCCTCTTTTTTCTTATCATTAGTCCGTTGACAGTTCATTGCTGGATACGAGTATCTTCCAAAATAGAGGGAATCACGATAACGTTTCTAGATGCAGTATAATAATTGTAATGGTTAATACCACCATTTAACGGCGACCAAAAGTTCTTCAATTTCTCTAAACGACCATTTACAATGTCTACCAACATTAAGTAAAATTTTTGAAAAAATTATTTTACATTAGATCTTAAGTTTTTTTAATATAAATAAATTGCTTCATACATGTCAATTTGGTTTTACAAGGGAGCGTTCGACAACCGACGCTTCAACTTCAGTTGAGCTTACAAAACATTTTTTTTTTCATGGGAGAATTCAGAGTATGCTTTGGTGTATTTTGTGACCTTTCCAAGGCTTTTGACAGTGTTTACTATAAGACATTAACTGGGTAACTATGGTGTCAAGAACACTATTTAAGTAATAGAGTGCATAAAGTTATTATCAATGGTAAAATTTCGTCCGGTTGCTTGTACAAAACGGTGTCCCTCAGAGCTCAATTCTTGGCCCATTCCTATTTTGGGGTATATAAATGACTTACCTTCTCTTGTGTATAGTATTATTTGCTGATGATACTTCCTTGATTTTTAAATTTAAACGTCAATCATTTAAATGTGATGAATTGTCACTAATGCTATATCAAAATTAGTGCATTGGTTTTACGTTAATAATCTATATTCAATCGGCAATAAAACTAAATGTATTAAATTTACAACAACGAATGTTAAAAATCTGAGTACCAATGTTTTTTAAATGGGGAAGAAGTGAGGTCTGTTGAATCCTCCGTTTTTCTTGGCATCACTCTAGACGCAAAGCTTTACGGGGTTTCCCAAATATCCAAAGTAGCGAGCAGGCTAAGGACCGCAGCGTATTCTATAAAAAAGATTAAATATATCACTAGTGTAGAGACAGCTAGATTAATATTTCAGTTAGTTTCCATAGCATAATGTCTTATGGGATTTTGCTATGGGGGAATGCGGCTGATTTATAAATTATTTTTGTTTTGCAGAAGATAGCCATAAGAGCTATTAACAACCTAAACCCAAGAGAGTCTTAGAGAAAATTTTAAAGAAATAAGTATATATTAAAATTTGACCCCGCGGTATATTTACGAAAATTTGATGTACCTTCACAACAACAAAGGTAGTTTTAGTAAAAAACAAGTGATATACACTCTGTAAGCACTAGGAACAAACACGCTAGTGACACCAGTTTCTTGACTCCACAGAGTCAGTAATTCATTTTTGGGGCAGTGTATACGCTGTTATAACAAAGTCCTAGAAAATATAAAAGGTCTCTCCATTATCAAGTTTAAATATTTAAATAAAAACTGTATAAGAAGGGTTATTATAATATGAATGACATGGTTGATAATAACCTCTGGAAATATGGTGGTCGTTTCCAAGCTATTTATAAAATAAATTTTATAAAGTTTGTAACCATTCATATTGTAAAATTTATTTTAAAAGAAGTCCCGCTAGGTTTTTTGTTGGTTCTCTCCCTAAGACAGAGGTTTTTTTCCGAAGCAGTGACGAAGAAAAATATTACTTTCAATAAGAATTACATGTGATCTACATTAAATGTAAAACTGTGTATTGACCATTATCCTTTATCATCCTTAAATTATTATGTAAGTTTGGACTATCTTTTTCGTGCCAAATAGGGAAAAAACGGGAGATTTATACTGCCTGTCAAACGGGTGGACTTCAAATAAGCTACCGCTAGCTACCGTTAACGAAGTCGGGTTGGCAACATATCCTGATTTGTCGCTTCTTACGACATTCACGGCATGATATGGGGTAGCAGGTATTGTTACATCGTTACTCGTTGGTAATTAAGGTTTAATGAATGTTGTTCTCTTGCATACGGGTGTGTATATTGAGATGAGTGGTTTGTGGTATAGCGTGGCGTTCAGCGGGGACGCGCAGGTGCTGTTCGCGTGCTACTCGGGCGGGCTGCTGCTGGCCTGGGAGCCCGAGCCGCACCCCCGCCCCGCGCCGCGCCTCGTGCCCGCGCACGCGCTGCTGTGAGCGTGACGCCGCCGCTGCACGCAACACAACCGCACGCTCACCACGATCGTCACTGGACTACGTGCACACTACGATAAACCAACGACGAATTAAAACAATACAGCGTTTAAGTAGTGCATGCGCTGCTCTGACGCGCACACATGCATGCACGTGCACACCACTATATAGTATACGCAATATATAACCAACTAAATATATAACGCCACTAAATAATACGCCTTTGACACGCTCACGAAAAATTAAGGGCATATTATTTATCCCATCAATTTTAAAATCTAAATATTTCACTTGATTATCATGACAGTTTCTTTCCTATGTACTCTAAACGAACTACCGTTTACATGTTTCAATCAAAGTAAAATACAACAATTCTGTATGTGATAATAAATTCAATGTATACCGTAGCGGTGATGAATAAGTTAAAGTTATATATATTTTAAACTTATTTAATAAATATATATCTTACACATACAATTTTACAATTCGACATTAAGACCACACAGAGTTATCAACACAATAAAAAAAAATAAGATAATTAAAGTTAACCATTCCAGCGCCTTTAATACGGCATTTGTTTTCTTAACACATTGACTAAACAATTTGTGCAACTAACAGCAAATAAATATTTTTACATACTCACAAATTATACACAAAACGCAATTTTTGTCACTTTATTGCATTTATACTGAACCAAAGTATACGATACGATCTGATATATTTAATGAGATTTTAAACTCTAATTGGTTATCAATAATTGTAAAAATATCAATTTACTAAACTTTATTCCTTATCAAAAAGACAGTAAACTAAAATCCTTAATAATTAATTACTATTCAACTATCATTTGAAATGGTCCTTTCCTCAATCCTTCAATTCAACTATATTATATATTATTATAAACTAAACATGAAAATAATAAAGCAAAAGAAACAGGGTCTTCATAATATCTCATATAGCAATATTTTGTGAGTGTCTTTCGTATTTTTAAGGAAAAATATATTTCATTCACTATGTGAACTATGTAAATATGATGCCTGTTGTGGCTTAAATCATTTTTAGTAATAATAACTTCTTTATACTTTAATATTGATATTGTTAGATAATTTGCAAGAAGTTAATTTTCACAATTAAATAACATTTTATCAGCCCCAAAGATATTAGTTAGATTAAAAACGAAATAAAATATAGGTACGTAAACTACTTATTTAAAAAATTTGCCAATCTTAACTTTTCATCACGCATGTTGTATTTGTATAACCCGTGCTAATTAACTATAATAAAATAATATAATAACTTACATTGTGGCCCCTCCCCCACTTTTTGACTGTAAGAGTGACGTCACAGCGCCAGTTACCTAATACTAATTTAAAAGACCCGCTGCCTGCGGTGCAATAAAAGGGGAAACATAAGTGCGACAGAGAGCCATAGAGTAAAGTAATATATACAGAAATAGAGAGCCATCTCCTAGGATTTTTTGTCACCCAATATGAATAGTGTCGCCGTCTGGTATCATATCCCTTGAACTAATCTCAATATCATGTTGACTATAGATAGCTGTATGTAGTTATGTATATACAGCTATCTATACTATAGACGGTTATATTTATATTTTAAGGGATTAGGGTTCAATTAAAGACGTATTATAGATTTCAGTAATATTAACATTTATTTTTGTTATATATATTTAACATACACGATGTAAAAGCGTCTATTCCGCAAAATACAACACCAAACCAAAATAAATATGTCCACCGAGTTACCGGAATGATAAATGAAAGCGTCTATTTCGCACAACACTACACAAACAATGTGGTTCCAGCATGAAAATGTAAACAGACAACAAGAAACAGAGGGCCAATCCCAACTCGACCAAACTTATTGTAGCAACAACCGAAAATCACTTATAAACTTTAATAAAACAACAACTTGTTCAGACACCGGTAGCCATTATGTTATATAAAGTTGCTACTTGCCACTTGCCAGTTCGAGAATAACCAGAATTGGTATAGTCGCCATCTAGCGCACCTTTTACAATTTAATGTTCGAAAGTTTATGCGGATATAGTAAAAGATGATACTAGTGTCTGCAAATTATTGAACCCAACCTAAAGTATGGAAGTGTACCCCCCCTGCAGAGAGCGCATAGCGCAACAGGCCGCGTCCTGTTTCCCCATTTTGTTGCACCGCGGGCAGCGAGTTTATTTTTAAAAATCGCACAGCTTGTACAGTACTGAGTGATTACATCTCTAATAAACTATTATTCATTTTCTTGGAAACTTTAGTGATATTTTTTTAAATATTTTGTAGAAAATTGGCTATTTTTAATAGTATATAGGTCATATCAAGTTCCTCGCATTGTATGCCTTTTATTAATTTGCGTGCTGAGAAAAATGTGGTGCACTTGTGAATTGGATGGAAGTTTTAAAATGGTTTGAAATAAAAATACACTTGTTTTAATGACAGTAAAGTCCAAACATTCCCGATAACAAATACTCAGAAACTACTTTCAATTATATTTTGTTTAATTAATATTCGTGTTTATTATAAAAAATTCTTTAAGTAGGTAAATAAATAGTTGTCAGAATAGATGCGCGTACAACACATACTTATCATGAAACTCAATGTAACATATCATAAGAATATTTTTGTTATAGTTTATTGATGTATATTTTTGTCAATGTGGTGTTAAAGAGTTTGTTAAAGGTTAAAAATAAATAAAATTTATATATTTAGCTTGTTTTCTTTTTATTTAATTTTCAACGACATCGTTTTGATTGAAAAAAAAAGAATTGCAAGTCCCACTGGTACAGGTATCACTAACACTATGGGCCTATTATAAGTTATGAATAAAATGCAAACGCTTAGTGGTTGTAGCCCGGCTACTGCGCCGCGAGTCCTGAATTCCAATATAAACAAAAGCCAGTATTTGTGCAAAAACACAAATTGTTAGTTTTCGCAATAATACGGACGATCCTTTGGCTTCGACTTAGGGCATCTTCGTCCGCATATTCGGCCTTCGTCCAATGGATCGGTCGAAACCACGCTGCAGGTGCATAATATGTATTTCTAATTTAACTAATTTACATAAAACATTATAAAGGTATAGATATTAGATATCATTGCTATATTATAATGTATGATTAAAAACTGGAGAATTCAAAAATATTTTGCCCTCTTGTGTTTCTATGCCCTTGCAGGCCGTCATATGTTATCCCTAACAATAATGTACAATCTTAAATTCCTAATGAGATCTATAATCAAAAAAGCATGATGGTGACCATCATACCGACCCCATAAGCAGAAGCGACAGAGCGCGATATACATGTGCGAAGAGTTGCAACGTGCAAGGAAAACAATCTAGTTTGATTTTGTCACTCGAAACAGACCGATGAAGTGTTTAGTATAGATATTTATTACGCGGCAGCTTTTGCTGTCGCGCGGATGGGCCGGCTCAAGCCGGGGTGGTACCACGGCCTCACAGAATACCAGCGTGAAGTAAAGGTTTACCTCTGCGTTTTGCTTAGTGAGTGCAGGGCGCTGGATGCCCAATCCCCCCCCCCCTTAACATGGTTTCATTTACAACAGAGCAAGAAGTTTAATCTACACTAATGAGTTTGAGATCAGATAGTGCAGTAGGTTGGGATGGTATTTCCTCAAAATTATTAAAAATTAACAAAAACATTATTGTTCCACCTCTAACACTTATCTTGAACTTGTGTATTAAAACAGGTACTTTTCCGGACGTATTTAAAATTTCAATAAGTCATCCTATTTACAAGGGCGGAAACAGAGAATGCGTTAATAATTACCGCCCGATTTCTGTACTACCTTCCCTATCCGAAATCTTTGAAAAAATTTTGAACAAAAGACTAATATTGTATTTAGAAAAGAATAATATCTTATTCAACAATCAGTATGGTTTTAGAGCTGGTAGATCGACAGCTGATGCAGTTTCTGATCTTACTGAATTTGTAGTTAGTCAAATAGATAGTAAATTTAAATGTATTGGAGTGTTCTTAGATTTGGCAAAGGCCTTCGACACAGTTTCTGTTCCGATTTTGTTGAATAAAATGGAAAAAGTCGGTATCAGAGGGATGGCACTTACTTTATTCGAGGACTACTTGAAAAATAGGATCCAGAGCTAAGAAAAATAGCCATCAATGGTTACCCATTGATGGCTATTTTAGTAATAATGCTCCTATTCACTATAGTGTGCCTCAGGGTAGTGTACTCGGGCCAACTTTATTTTTAATTTTTTTTAACGATTTATGTAACCTCAAATTAGATAGGTGCAAAATTTTTACTTACAATGATGACATTGCATTAATCTTCTATGGAAACATTTGGGATGAAGTTAGGATTTATGCTGAATTAGGAATGCAAGCAACGTTACAATGGCTCAATCAAAACGTTCTTACTTTGAATAATACTAAAACAAAATTTTTGTTTTTTGCAAATAATAAACGCGCACTAACTACTGAAAATTCATTTAAAACAGAAATACACACGTGCAAAAACAAAAGCTCAATTCAATGCAATTTCACATCTTTAGACCGAAATGACACAGTAAAATACTTAGGCGTAGTGTTGCATGAAAATCTGACATGGTGCCCTCATATTAATCAGTTAGCAGGGAAAAGAAGAAGCTTATATATATATATATATATATATATATATATATATATATATATATATATATATATATTCAAAAAACTAAGACACGTGACAGACTATTTTTTGCTGAAGACTGTTGTTCTTATCATTGGCACAGTCTATCTTGTCTTACTGTATTACCTCATGGGGTGGAGTCCGAAAACTCATCTCATAAAATTAGAAAGAGCGCAGCCTATATTACTCAAAGTAATGACATTTAAACAACAATTTAGCTATTCTACAGACAAACTATATTCAGAATGTGACGTATTGACAGTTAGACAATTGTATATAAAAGACACTGTTATATTCCAACACGAAAAACTTACATATAATCACGAATTAACA